AGTGAGTTTTACTGATGTAAATAATAACTGTTTATATATTTATAATTAATTTATTTCTGTTTCCGAAAATATTTTGGTTAAAAGAAAATATGTAAAAGTGGGCAAAGCTTAATCACGTGACTAAAAGTTTATTTGATATGAACTATAATATAGTCTATTCAACTAGAGAATATAAGACAGTGACAGTTGTTTGCCATTTTAAATCACAGATAAATTGTATTCTCTGTCATTTTTTGGATGTCGTCGATCGAAATCTTCCCTAATTGGACAAACATCATTGCACATTGAGCAAATGCAATGTAATGTACCATGGTTAACTAAATGTCGACTCACTATAAAGTCTTGATAAAAGATTAAACAAGGTTATGCATCAAGCGAAATATCTATGATATCTTGATCAATTCTAGATACGAAATTGCCCATCAGAGATATCAATAGATATTTATAAAATACACGTCATTATATCTTTTAACCATCTACAAATGGTAAATTATATACAACTAAACAGTTTTATAGTGTACAGTGCATAAAATATATAAACCACCAAAAATAAACACACCCTCCTGTGTTTTAAATAATTCATCAAAAATTCTCCCTACAAACTACCCCCATCGTTTTCAATAAACTCCCCTCGTCTCCGTTCAATATATATCTTTTTTGATGCCTTATTTCTATAACACTTACGGCTTTTTGACATAGAAAATCTTTTGAAAATGCCTTTATGCTCCCCCAAAGCAACATAAAGTACCCCTCGATACATTTTAAAACAGGTCTGGGGTGAAAATTGTACAAAATAGACGGGGTTGAAATGCGTTACAGCAAAGCTACTGATAAAGCTGCTTTCAATAATGCTAGAATGTGTATGTATGTGTACGAAATAGCATTACGGTAAACCTATAAAGTTTTCCAAGAAAAAAAAATGACGAAAGACAATTTAACTTTTCTTGTCTATATTATTATTGTATTCTGTCTTATATTATTGTTACTTATTACATTGCCAATATAATAGATATTTTATAATTAAATTAACAAAAATTTAATAAATATGATAAAATTAAACCATAAAACATAAAACCTAGTTTTATGTTTTATGGTTTATGTCTATAACTATGTCTTTAAACGGCAGTTTTCTACAGACTAAAAATGTTATAAAATATCGAATAATGTGGAATGCAGCTCAATTTTATCCCTTTATTAGGGTAACATCTGTGTTCTAACTGACCTATTAAATTGAGTTACAAAGTAACGAAAAAGTTAAAAAAGATTTAGAAGGTTTTATCATTATTTATTAAGAAGTAAAATAATTTAAACCAATAAAACATATAAATGATTTTAAAGAAACTGAAAAATAATAAAAGATTTTCTTCAAAAAATAAATTCTCGTAACTTTATTGAAACGGTACATTTTATGTGCTTTTATTAAGAACAGTAATTCAATATTTTAATTTTAAAATAATAGACACAAATAAAGAAAAATACAAATGCGAAAACCTTTCAAAAACATTTTAGCCCCATTTATTCTTTACATTTCATTCTCAACATGTTTGTTCAGAGTAAATGGAATTTTCCAACAGCCATTTTTCTTGGTGTTTCCCTTTAAAATCGATCTTTTATTTTAGCCCGAGTATTTTCACTCCCCCTCCCCCACTTTGTGCCAGCGGCGCGGAAACTAAATACGAATATTAAATTAGAAATTTTGTTCTGGTATAAATTACAGAACGAAATCTTTACATGGTTTTTGACAGCATGTAGAAAACGTTTTCATAGTATTAACATGGCACTACGATACCATAACACTAAAACAAAATATATCTATAGAACTCGCTAAATCTTTTTCGATTGGACAGTTGATAGCATGACTAATTGACATTAAAATTATTAATTAAAAAAGTATTTTTAAAATAAGCTTTTTTTAAATGCTCTAATAAGAATAAAATAAACTTATAACTAAATTAAACCCATCAATTTATCTATTAGGTAATGATGAGCAAATGCAAGACCAAGACACCCTTGGTCTTGCAGTTAATAAGAAGTCTTGGTCTTGCAGGGTCCAGTCTTAGACGTGCTACAAGACTCTTGCAAGTCTTGCATTTTTTTAATAAATGTTTACTACTTAGGGGTACCTTCTACATAGAAAATCTTTAAATAAATTGTATGATGATGACATAGTCCTAATTGCCAATAGTCCTGAAGCCAATAGTCCTAATTGCCAATAGTCCTACAAGCCACAAATTAATGAACTAAATACGGGTAACGGGGCAATGCATTTCGTGTCATGTAGTATTATTTGGTAATCCCGAAACATATTGTGGTATTACATTCGATAACAAGTGACTACAAAAAAAGACCGTAAAAGAATAGAGTGGATGCGACAAGACAAAGGTAATAGATTCACAGTATCAAATTCGTCAAATGGCAATGGGCAGGACACCTGGCAAGAAGGACGGACAACAGATGGACAACAAAAATTACAGCATGGTACCCACGAGGAATTAAGAGACCTAGAGGAAGACTAGCGAAAATGTAGGCATTAGTAAAGTTTACAGAATGAAATATGTCAGTGACCGATGTGGAAAAACGCTTTAAAAACAGGGCTTTAACTGGAAATGAGCGTTAATTAGTTGGAAATCCGTTTTAAATAGAAAATCGATTAAAATAAAAAAATCAGATTAAAATAAAAAAATTTTTTTTTTAATTTTTTTGCGCCTTGCTACTACGTCACTGATATTAGTTTGACGTTGGTTTGACGAATTCTCGTCTATCGTACCCGACAGTGACGCCACCCCCTCTTTTAAATTTTCCTCTCGCATTCTCACCAATTATGATCACCAAAGGAAAGAGGAAAACAGACAACGAAAAATAAAAACAACGTTTTAAAACGTAAAATCAACGAGATTTTAAAGTATTTCTCGGTTCGGGAAAACAACTTTAAACGAGAAACATCTTTAAATGAGAAACATTGTTGAATTTTAAAAGATTTGTTGTTTTAATTTGCGTTTTTCTCTTTAAATTGTAAATTTATAATGGCGTAATGAGATTTATTTCGATTTTGACAAAGTTTCATGCTGAAGTTGGAAGATTGTTGTGTTGCCTAATCAAAAAGTTTTTAATGACTTTAAGCGCCGAGGGTGGAAAATGTGCTGCGAAGTTATTAAATTTTAAAGGAAATATAAATAATAATAATAATGATATTCTAATTAGAGACGGAGTTAATTAGAACAGAACGGTTTGGGGAGATTGAATATTTACTTAAGGAATGTTTTGAGATTCTATTATACTTTTATATTAATGCATTATTAAGTTACTTCATTTCTGTTTGTTAGTTGTAGACTAAATTAAAGAACTGACTTGAAGAAACATTGAATTGTATTTTCAGAATATAATTATTAATTAAACTCAAGTAACATTAATCTTAGCTGCTTTGATATATGGTAGCTTGTTTAAACTTAGTTGACACGGTTAAAGTCTACTAGGATGAATGTCAGTATGGCCGTAACTTAAACTTCGCAAGCCACATCCTCTTATGTGCATTCTTGTATTTACAATAAAGACGTTTATTGTTATTATTAAATAAAGTATAGTATATTAAGTATATTCAGTAGGTAACATTGCTAGTAACATTGCATTGTATCAATACAAGTTTTTGTATTCAATTAAATATATTGTTTCTTTGGAACTGATTAGCAATGTAGATAATAAAAATTACAATTTTTGGCATACTTATTATATAATATGGTAAACGCAAAACAATTTCCGATGCACGTGATCAATTTTGAGTGACAAGCGATGGCGACAGCGCTGCCAGATTGTGATGGATTTATGAGATGAATATTAATTTAAATTTGACAAACAACATATTTATTATATCATTTTTTAAGAGGTTTACGTTTTATTTTTAATTTAATAACTAATATTTTAGTGATATTTATTTGTTTTATAGCTTATTTTACTTATTACATATTGGCAAAAACAAGTCCATTATGAAGATTATTATAAGTGTTATTATGGGTTATTTATTTATTGATAATATAGTAATAACAAGTAAGAGGGTGCTATAAATGCACAAACTAATAATCACCGAATTAATAAAAACTAACTTTGAAAGTGGTATAATGTGCTTATCAATCAAACTTACTTTTCTGACTGTAGTCAAGGGTAATAAAGGGCCTTTATTGTCACGTTCTCGTTCAAAATAGTTAAAAAAAAAACAGGGAAGCTACAAGCTCTTTGCTTCGACTGTTTAAATGCTTCGGTATATTTTCAACACACAATTTCAAGAAATGCAATACAAAAACTCGAAAATTTATTTCTTAAAAGAACTGCTTGTGCTTAAAAGTGCATTTTTTAAAAAAAGACTATGAAAATAGGCAAAAAAATCAAAATTACTCACAAAAATTCAACAACACGATATTATACAAAATAATGACTGACATTAGGATAATTGTCAAATAATAAAGGAGAACATTGCTGAACACGCCGCAATGTGACCAACATAGCGATAATAAAATTCGGTTTAAACTAATTTTTGCAGCTTTAATCTAAATCTCAAATATCTGTTACAATCATTTGCTCTATAAAGTAAAATGAAGAGCTTCTGGGTATCTTAAATTATACAACAAATTTAAACATTTTTGCCAAAATTTCATTTAGTCAGGTTTATAGACTTTAATGTCAATGTCGATATAATTGATGACGTGCATCGGACAATGTTGTGCGATTACAATAGTTTATTACTTCTTTTTAATATGTAATATGAATCGATTATTTAATTTCCAATAATTAATTGGAAATTTAATTTATTGTTTCATAAACACACTGCAAGAAATTTTATACTTGTGATCTGAATTCTTGTCTGATGATATTTGAATTGTTTTGTTTTTATAATTATTATAATATATATATATACAAATAGATTACAATATAAGCAAAGCTGTACTACCTACTTAATGAGTGGATATCTTATTTTGATATTATATTTTACAATAGAAGACATAACTTACTTTTGTGGCTCGTTAGGATCTCGCTTCTTCTTCTTTTTCTGCACTTTGGGCTTTTTCTGTGCTTTCGCTAATCCTTGATCGGCTGGTTCAGGACTGGGCCTTTTCATAGCTGTTATCTAAAATATAGAAAAAAAAATCCAATATAGTACAAGCAGTATCTGCAAGAAAAATAAGCTACTAGGTACGTACGCGACGAAATTTTGTAGCAACAACGCGAATACATCAATTAAAAACAGGAAACCATAAAAGTTTTTAAAATACTGCACGATTATTAAGTTGAACTTGTCTGAATTACGGCCAAGGACTGACTGGCTGTATTTCGAGAAGTCATGTCTTTGTTAACACATGTTTCAAAAGGCATAAAAATTCCGTTCCCACTCTGGGTACTTGGAAAATAAAAACAGACTGACAGAACCCAAAGCCGGTTGAAAAAAGAAAAAAAGGCTTATGACGTGGGGTGTTGTATGACGTTAACCAAATAACAGCTTGCGTTATACATTGTATACCGGGTGTTTTTCAAAAGTGGCTCCCCCTATGGGTAACTATTTTAGTTTTTTCAGGTTGAAAACGAGATTTGTTATGTTAGTATATGACATAAATCAGGATTGATTGACATATTCAATTAGTTTCGTTCACTTTCTATTTCACCGGAAATGACTACAACTTTTGATTTTTAAATAGCACCCTCGGTATATTTTTATTTTGTTTAATAGGAAATTAAATTCTGAATATATCATATGTCAATTTTTGACATTTTCAATTAAAAGAAATAAGTACATAACATCTTAAATTCCAGTCTATAGCCATGGCCATAAATATAACGACAATTTGACTCGAAATATAAAGTGGGTGGTACCAAATTATTGGTAAAATGTTTTTTCCAAATTTGCTAATGAGCCACCCTCGTTCTATTTGAAAAAATTGACCGGTTAGGAAAAATTTGAAGAAGTACACTAATATTATTGTTCTAATTTTTTATATCATTTATATTACGTTTATATTACGATTAAAAACAAATGTTAAATTATATTATTTTATTAAATTTTAAAACTATTCAGGAAGTAAGTTATTTTTACTACTACAGTATTGTTATGAAAACCATCTTTCCAAATGTATTTTAATTTATACGTTATAGGTAATAGGTACAGAAAATACAGAAACAAAATGTTTTCAGTTTGGTTCATCTTTCATGCTCCATAAAGAATAAAGGTCAATCATAAAACAAATAAATACATAAAGCAGTAAACTAAATGTCTTATATTATTCAGAAACACGATTATCTAAATATATTGTTAGTCGGAACCATTTGGCGGATTTATGTCTCTGTCTATAAAGCATATCGAATTAATGTTCACTTACATATTAATAATTTATTTGACAGCCTTTTATTACTGTTACAGGCATTGTATATGATTTTTATGACCTTTTTATGCGCCCTAAATTTTTATTTGCCAAATAAAGTCGATCTACATCTAAAGTTAAATGGAGAGATATACGTTTTATGATAACTGTAAATATACATCAGTTTATTCGTTTGAGCCTAATAAAAGACATAATAGATACTAATTTTGATCGATATCTTTATATAGTCGTCTGCCTAAAATGACTAGTTTATATATTTACTAGTTTCTACTATCTATTTTAGTCAGATGCTATAATAAAACACGACTATTATTTAAACACATTAACACATCATAATTATCTTATTTGAATAGTACCGCTAAATTATACCGTATGATCGATAAAAAAGGTGTCAAAAATGGCTGGGGACACCTTTAAAAAAGCCACCAACAACGTCGATTGAAAGAATTGGGAAGATACGCAACCTACTGGGCAAATATGTAACGAGCAACTGATTTTATTCCCCCTTACGTCTCAAGTGCTACGGTGAAGCCTCAACTCGTTCTGCGGCCAACGCATAAAACATTTCCTCATTTTCTCTAATTCGTCTAGCGAAGGCATGTCGAAGACGGTGTGGAACTTGAAGCGACAGTGTTGCCATATTAAAATGTGTAAAGTCTTTTATAGGTACTGAATATATTGTATGATCGAAAAAAATCGTTTAGTTGGCTTCGAAATGACGACTATTGACATTTCCCATAATATTTAACATATGAAATAACAGCGATCTTCATTTCCAAGCCAACTCTGAAGCCGCTCTTTGTTTAATCATATAATATTATATTGCTTAATGATAGAAAATCTCTATTATTAAAGTACTGTACCCAAAATCCGTAAATCTACGAATTAATCCATAGTTCTGGCAACACTGTCTCCGGCAACCACCCACTCTGTCGACTGAAAGCAGAACTACGGTACAGTATTATTTATCAGCTGCGCTGTAAACGACTATCAGCGCGCAGCGGGGCGCAGAGCTAAACTAAATGTCGGACAGGTTGACTAGCGGCGACGTATAGCCAGCTATATCTCAGACAGGTTTTGTGCCATGAAATAGCCCATAAGGTTGCGCATCTTCTTATTTCTTCAATCAACGCTAACAAGTTTCTGTTTGGATTCAACGCAGTGACGTTTACAAAAAATAACTTTTTTATCTTGTAGTCTATGTCTCTTCCAGTGGTGTAAAATCGAGACTTTTTTCATAAAGCCGCCATAATATATAAGCATTATTTAGTAATTTCTTTAACATACCATTGCTGGATGGGGCGTACTATCATCGCTATCATCACTAGTAGTGTGCTCCTGACCAGGAGGCGCTGGGGGACTATTCCCCCTACCCTGGGGATGCTGCGGTGACGCCCCATACTGCCCCATCGAACCGGGAGGAGGCTGTCCATGGCTCATCATCATTTGCTGGTGCTGTTGTTGCTGCTGTTGGTGGATCATTAGAAGTTGATTGTTATGCTGTTGCTGTTTCAAGCGAAAAAACTTCTGATAAATTGATTTTGAATTTCAGTTTAGTAGATAGGGGTAGGAAAAACAACATTAAAATAGTTATTTATGTATGAAGGGAATTATAAGGTGCTCGAGGTATTAACACTTTATATTTAGATAATTTTATTTCTTACTTAATTTAGTACACTTTTGTCCAATTTAAAACGACACAAATGTTGCATTTATTCTAAATCTTCCGATATATTTGTATTAACGCTGCTGATAGGAACTTTGTTGCCAGAATACCATTGTATTAAATGACCTGTTTATAAATTGACGGTTGTTGTCAATCAAGTTCAGTTTTTTGTCAAAAAAAACGGAAATATATAAAAAAAAAGCTGAAGAAGCACGACACAAGCGTTACTTCCACCTAAAAGTGAATAAATTTATCTAAAAGGAATATAAAAAATACCTTCAGTGGTTGGGACACAAAAATATTGTAGCAGTCGATGTCAATGAAACTATCCTCTTGGCATATTTTCAAGAAATGATATTATATGTAACATTAATGATGTAAATAACTTATTAGAGTAGTTAGATGAGTGTCCATTCATTTTATATTATTACTTTATTGTATTTCATGGTTGTTACCTATAAAAGGTAGAAGAAAATATAGTATCTTAATTCCCGTTATAAATGTCCTAAGGGAGTTATAACTCTGTTTATGGTTAGAACGTAACCAAAAGACGATATATACATATAAGTTTATATTAATTCAGTAAGAAATAAAATAAATAATAAACAATTTTTAAAGTTATTGTTGAAGTGATTCATACTAACGTGTCAAGGTGGTATGATTATTTTCACAAGCAATTAGAGACAAATTCCAAAAGTATTTATTCTAGGAAGACAAAGTAATGACGGGTAATAATAACAATTACGCTAATAACGCAGCAGTAGTAATTATATGGGAATTAAAAGTTAATAAAAGAGTAATAAAATCTTACTTGTTGACTCGGCGACATGGCGTAATTCGGTTGGGGACTGTGATATTGTTGACCCACTAGTCCGTGATCTGGGCCAGACAAATACAACGGCTGCTGGTACCCTCCTGTGGGGTCGTGCATTCCAATCGCCTCTTGCTGCTGATTGATTTGCTGATTCATTTGTTGCATACCCTGAAATATTAATAAACACAAATGTCATTTAGTTTCGACACTTCGATGTCATAATCATATGTCATAGACATAGATTTAATTATGGAGGGCTTAAAAAAGGAGATTTATCGGCAATGGGCAAATTTGAAATTTCTGTCCCCACTTTTAAGCAGCTTCCTCGGTTTGACAGCAGAGGCACTGCGATCGACTGGGATACTACATTTTCATTGTTAGTATACGATTTAATTGTGTTTTTAATAAAATTTATAGTTAATTTCTGCCACGGAACATTTTTATCACGTCGGCGTCCTGTTCTTTTGTCTTTTGTCTGTGTGTCAGCGTCAGCTCCCGAGTCCTCTGGCAAGGTCGGGCGCCATTTTAATTTTTGCTGTTTAGATTTGATTGGAAGTTTGTTTCTGATATTTCGGCTGAAATTTATAAGTACAAAGATGTTTTTTAATATAAAGTTCCTTGTTAACACTTTAATAAAGTATATATGATATTAATTACATGAAGAAAATGATGAAATCGACGTTTCTGCGTGTAGTAGGTATGGGCCATATTATATATATAAATAGGTAATATATTAACTGTTTTTATATTTTTTTAGCTTTAAACCCAAAGATCTTGGGATATTCTTTGCCAAGGATTTTTCCGTATCTCTACTTTAAAGACTGATCGGTGATTTTGAGCAATTGAAAGCAAGTTATACAAGGTAAATTATGATTATTGAACTATTATTAGCCTACATTAATTTTCTACAAGATGAACAGAAATGCGTAATTACATATCACATAGGTACCTATTATGTATTTTCATAGCAATAATGCTATAAATCTATGTATGTAGATTATTTTTAAAATACAAATGAGGTATTAGATGTATATGTATCATATTTTTTATTCATTTTATTTTCATTCAAGTCCTGTTTGATTTAATTCACAAAAGTCTTATGTATCTATATTTATGTTTTTTACATATTTTTTTTGATTTCAGGTTTCGTATGGGTTCCGGTTACTTTTTTCCTGCTTCCAGTTATTTAGTTTTATGCCCGTGAAGCTGTGAAAACATTTATTTATCTTCAAGTTTCTGTACGTCAATGCACTGTTACTTTACTAATTCACTTTAACATAGCATCTCTGATATTATTTAAATATTTGATATTGATACAGTAGTATATTGGATTATAGCTCTTTAATTGTGTTGATTTGCATATTTACATTGTTCTAAATTCCAAATAAATATTTTTGAGTAATTTTGTTGTATTATTTACTACTAGAAAGAGTAAAAAGTATATTAACCCTCATTTAAACCTCCTGAACAGCCCGCCATTAAAAACCGGAAACGGAAATAAATTTCATAAAATTGAAATTGTCATGTCTATGTCATGTCAAATGTCCCAGCCGCCATATCTGAAAATTAGTTACCCAGGCAGCCACGTTGTTTCCATAATTTAACATTGACTTGACACTTCTTGTATTTATTATTTTATGTGTAAAACGTCGTTATCCAAAACACCTTCACAGCCATGCACAATTTGAAAAAATCATATAGATATATTAAATTTTATTTTAATATTGAAGGAAAAAAAACAAGAAAAGAATCATTTTATATTCATACGTTAAAGATAGGAGGGACTACATTCAAGGGACTACATTATTCACTACATACCATAGACTAATGTCATGTACTAGAATGCCATGTCATGCTACATACCTACATATTGACATAACCATGACATAACTCATTTACACATTTACATATATACAGGGTGGTCCGAACTGTATTCCGGAAACTTCAGCAGCACATCCTGCAGATAGATGTCCTATAAAATGCTTAGTTTCGGAGATACAGGGTGTAGAAGTTTCACTTTTACCAAGAGACATTTTTTACGTAAAAAACTTCGTAAATGTATATTTTTTTACCCAGTAGTTTTATACAGGTACGGACGAAAAGTTATTACACTTCAAACCAGTTAAAAAATATGCAGGTGGCGCCCTCTACAAGTAGGAGTCATATTGACATCAAATTTCTCATATTAAAAAAACTCCCTGGTACCAATTTTTATCCAAATATTGACGTTTACTTCATAAATTATTTGGAAAAAATCGAAATAAAAATGAAACTTCTACACCTTGTATTTCCGAAACTAAGCATTTTAGGACATACATGTATACGAACTTTTTTACTTATTTTTATCTGGAGAATATGTTGTCGAAGTTTCCGGAATGCAATTCAGACGACCCTGTATTTATTTGCAGTTTTTTTAGACATTTCTCTTAACAAATTTGAATTTTTGACTTAGTGGTGCTTTTCTATTTATATTGTTCTGTATATTGTCTGTTTTATATTGCTTTTGTTTATTTTATAATTGATATTATTAAAAATCTAGTAGACTACTTAGTACGTACAAAGTAGACTACTTATAAAATATATACGTAAGTACATGATTGCAATTACTAAGAAGACACATGAAAAATAACCAAAGTTTTTAATTAATAAATTTTATTGATAATTAACATTTATTGACCCAAAGTACAACACACTCAGTAAATTATTCAGTGTACTTTATTTTAAATTTTAACATATTAAAAAAAGAACTCCTCGGATAAACCGGAATTCAAGTCAGCCATATTGAAACCCCTTCGCGGTCTCGCCAGTTTTCTAATATTCCTCCTTGCGTAAAAGTCACATTTAATTTTCATATTGTCAACTATTACAAAGTCCGAGGGGTAAACCGCAGAGGAATTATGGTGTACACTATGAAGGAATTCTACAGGAATTCCAAGGAATTACGAGGAATTCCAAGGAATTACTAGGAATTCCAATGATTTCCGGAAGAATTCCGATGAATACCAAGGAATTCCTTAGGAATTTAGAGGAATTCCACAGGAATTAAGAGGAATTACAAGCAACTTTATACAAAATTAACGAACATAAGTAGACCATGAATACTATAATAGGTAGGACCGAATTTAACGAAAAACGTTTTGCAGGCGATTTTTTACTATCCGTTTTTCGTTTTCGAATCGCTTCCAAAATTTCCCAACATCAAATATCTACAGGTTAGATATTCTTTTAATTTAATATTGTACCCTCGATTATATATCTAAAATATATTCCAATAGTACGGCCGAACCACCCCCAAGAGATCTACTTATAACGTTCCTTGATTTCGCCATTTTAAAGAAACGCTCATAAGATTTTTTTATTCAATACTCAGAAAGTGTAAAGTTGTTTTTTCATTTCCTCGGAATAATACCGAGGTATATACAATAGGAAAATTAATACAACTTTAGGTGCACTTCATCAATGACACCATGCGTAATCTTGTGGAATTTACTGGTGATCGTATTATGACGTTCAACTGAAGTTTTATTAATTTCCTTTCCTATAGATATAACTAAGACCTATAATTTTCAAAAAAATCCCGAGAAAAATTAATTTTAATAAGTAAGTGCCGACATATTTCTAGTATTTTCACCTCATGATACCCTATTAGTCCTAAAATTTAACTAAAAAAACGTAAATCTTGTAATAGTACTTTTTATTGTTAGATCTAGGACATATAAAAATCACGACAAAATTCATTGCGGAACTGCGAAACGGAGGTGGCAACGCTGGTTGAGACTGAAAGAGTTACCGAGTTCGTACCAAGGAATTCCAAGGAAAATCTTGATTGACCTTGACCTTGAAGACCAAGGAATTCCAAAGAATTCCGAAGGAATTACGAGGAATTCTGAGGAATTATATGAGCAAAAGGAATTACGGTGTACACTTTTCCCTCTGCGGTTTACCCCTCGACAAAGTCATAATACATAGATGAGTTCTAAATATTCTTTAATCTGTGGACTTAACTATATATTATATTATGTGGTTATATTATTTACTTTTTAACTTACCTGCATAGGTGGTTGATAATGTTGATCATTGTGAGCTTGTTGGGCATGTTGCTGCTGTTGAGGATTAATGTTGGGTATATCAAATTCTTCATCGCCGAAACTAGGCGTGTGAAAAGTCTGAAATCAAACATAAAACATTTTAGTCTATTTTTTATTACTCCATAAATTTTAATTACGAAAATGTTTTAAATTTGACGATAGATTGCCAAAGTTAATTTATAATCGAGCTGATATAGAGAATTCTATCGACGTTCTAAAAGATAGAAAGCCATAAACTGTGATTATGATTTTATTTTTTTTGAAACTAATTTGTTTGGATCTGTGCATTTTGCTATACAGGGTGAGTCTTAAATAAGTGCAAAAATTTTCAGGGGTCGTATATTTCGACCCCAGGAAAACGTCTATGAGGTTTTTTCGCAAAAAAAAAAAGATGTTGAAAATCGTGCATTTTCTTTTAAATTCTGCTGTATATTTTAGAAAAAAATTTAGGACTGCATGTTCACCGCAAATTTTCCTATGGTACATTTTTTAATCTCTGATATTACCATGGTTGCGGCTTTACTCTATGGTACGGCACTAAAATGGATGCAAATTCATGAAAAATCCGGTGGCTCTCTTTATTTTTTAAAAAATATATAAATCAATCTTTTTTTAAATTTTCTTGAATAACACGTTATTTTGGACTAAATTGCACTTATTTCTTCATCTTCTTTCTGATAATTTTTCAGGCCCGGTTTTTGAAAAGATCCAAAATTGATTAACTATCTTCTAACCTTTTAAAAATGGCTGGGTTTGGTTGCTCGGCTCTTTGGATACCGCTCAAAATATAAATCAGCTGCCATTTGTTTATGTTTGTTAGACTCAATATAACATTCTAACATATTATATTTCTCAAAATTTTCAAATTTACTCATTTTTTATTATTTAAAATACACACACTTCAATCTATTGAAATGAAATGTCCAGCATCCATCAAAGGTATGTTCCGATCACCATGATAACCGTTTACTTTGTTACTCGGCGCGGCCTACTATCCACTAAGTGGATATTTTAAGAAAAATTTAAAATGTTGAGGTTAATAGTGAAAATAAATATAGAGTGTTGCATATTTTCGAGAAGCCCATGCCAAGCTGAATAAGAAAATTTAAAAATATACAGGGGGTTCTATTTAAAAAACATAAGTATAGTTAATATCTCAAAAAATATTTTTTTCGAAAAAAGTCTGACTACGCCACTGCATTCTACACAGAAAAGTGCCTTTAGAATGTATAATTAATTTTTCCGTGGTTGCTGAAATAAACAAACTATCGAACATGTTCAAAAAGTACAAAATTTGAGAATCCCCCTGTAGCTTCGAAACCAATCAAGATAGCCACGATCCGTTTGAGCCATTGTAATTTTTTTCAAAAAAAGAACCCGAGACTGCAGTATCAAAATTTGAATATTTCTCACGGTTTCCTAGATACCCTATAGAAACAACCAAAATGGTCCACCCTGTACATTTTATATCTTATTAACAAAAAAATATTATATGTATAAATATTTATCACCAAATTTGTCAGCTTATCATATTTGTTAAATTAGAATTATTGGAATTTTCTGTCATATCTATACTACCATTTGGATGAAAATCGTTTTAAGTTATAAAAATTGATGTTCTATTCATACATTTCAATATTCCAGGTTATTATAATAACTATTCATTCCGCTATCTATTCAAAATAAATCACGTTATTCCTTTCATCCTTCATAAATTTTTCTTCCTCATTTCGGAATTCTAAATTGCTTGCATAAAAGTATATTTTTATGAAATATTTTCCATTTAAGTGGCATAAAGAAAGATTTTCTGGAATTTCTCTGCCAAAAGCACGTACGTCGATAGGCGGAGGGATTCCCCTCCGCCCCCCGCCTCGATCGGAGGCTCCATCGGGCGGCGACCCCCCGAACTAACTTTAATAGAGTTGAGCTGAATACTCGTTGTACGTAATTTATTTGGCAGCGAAGAAATATGGCCCATAACTTTGTATGAAAAATAAAGAAGAATTATATGAACATTATAAATCAGCCGAACTCATTTTTATTTCGGGGATTTATTATTTTTGCCTAATTAAATACAATGAATAATTCGGAAAGTTCGACGGAGTTGCGGGAAAGCAGTTAAAAAGTTTCGCGAAATTGAAGTTTTACTGCAAATTGGATGAAAAATTTCAATCCGGGATCAATACTAGGGTTTAGTTTCAGACGAAACTTCAGACACTTTAATAAAACTGTAAGTGTTTTTGGGTTTTGAACAAACATAAAGATAATTTACACCTTTAAGTATAAGAAAAGTTCAGTGCTAAATGTTTAAATTGTTGGTATGAGAATGTTTGTAATTATATTTAAAACTATCATGTTAATGGGACACGAGCGTGACATACTTTTTTTAATTACGAAATTATCATTTACTGATAAAACTATAACTGCTTCTGAGTAAAAAGAAAATAGGAACATTGAATAATCGTGGAAAATATATTATTTTAATAGAAGTCAAATCTTGGTAATAAAAAATAAAATCTAAATAAGTTTCTAAATTTAGGCGTTTTCTGGATTATTTAAAACTATATTATACAGGGTGCTACAAATTCGAGGTACGAGCATTGGTATCTCGGAAACCGTAATAGATACGAAGATGGTTAAATGGGGGCAAAGTTGCGCCTTGGGAGGTTCACCAAGATGCTGTCAAAAGAGTTTTTAAAATTTCAAGGATCGCTGAGTTTTTTGGAAAAAACAAATTTTTTTGAAAATCAATTTTATTTTTTCCTATCGTTTTAGAAAATCAAAAAACTAATTGCACATTCTCATAGCCACTTTATTAGGGCTATCTGACAGTATTTTTAGATTTTCAAATTAGCTGATAATTTGTGAGATACATCAGAGGCCGACTTCGTTTTTTTAAATACGGACCTGCATTTTTTATTTCAGTTTTTCAAAGAACTCGGTCTCCTGAGTACAATGATATGCCACACTTTATACTTTTTTTTGTTTTGGGTACCTTAACAACAAAACTATTTAATTATTATTTAATATATTTTCAAGTCCGACCCTGGTTTCTTAAAATATTTTATCTGATAATATTCATTGCAACAATATTGATCAGCGCTAATTAAAATTGAATAAGGAAAATCGAGCCAATTGAAAGATTCAAATAAATAATATCCAGCTCAGCAATTTAAAGATATTATTTTTAACTTTTTTTTATTCTGAATTTGAAATTCTCAGTGTACGATCTAACAATATGCATAATATTAATCGTAGTTATTATAAATAAATCACCTTCTACAAACTATTTTCTAATGCTCTACATGTTCGAAAGGGTTACCACCTTGCCTATTGCACAAATTTATTATTCTTTCAATTTTATTTATAGCTCTTTGAACATATCTTCTTCTTATACTTCCGAATGCATTTTGTACTCTTTATTGTAAACGTCGAAAAATATTGATTTCACTTTTACAAATGACGTCAAGTAATGCAATTATTTTTTTATTGAATTTGATTTTTCGTATTCAATGTTTTACCCCACGTCATAGTTAAGTTTGAAGGCTTATCAATATTGTAACGATGAATAATTTAAATATTTAAAAATACAGAGAAATTAGTTTAAATAAATTTTGTGTTCAAATGTCCGAAACAAAAAAAGTATAAAGTGTGGCATATCATTGTACTCAGAAAACCCGAGTTCTTTCAAAATCTGAAATAAAAAATGCAGGTCCGTATTTAAAAAAAATAAATCAGCCTCTGTATCTCACAAATTATCAGCTAATTTGAAAATGTAAAAATACTACCAGATAGCCCTAATAAAGTGGTTATGAGAATGTATAATTCGTTTTTTGATTTTCTAAAAACTAAAGACAGGAAAAAATAAAATTGATTTTCAAAAAAATCCGTTTTTACCAAAAAACTCAGCAATCCTTGAAATTTCCAAAACTTGATGGCATTTTGGTGAACATCCCAACTTTGCCCCAATTTAACCATCTTCATATCTATTACGGTTACCGAGATACCAATGCTCGTACCTCGAATTTGTAGCACCCTGTATACATACATACAGGAACCCCAAAAACTGATATTTCCCTAGATCATAAAATACAGGGCGAGTGTTAAATAAGCGCAAATTTTTTTAAGGGTCATATTATTACTTTAGGGATATATTATTTCGACGCCAGAATCACGTCTATGAGGGTTCTTCCGAAATTATCTTTTTTAAATTTGGAATTTTTTGAAAAAAAATTGAGACTTTTTAATTTTAAATTAAATAGCATATCTTCATAATATGGCTACATAGGTAGTAGATTAAAATTACAAGAAAGAAACACCAGAAAAGATCTAGTGGTTCTCAAAATTTAACCAAACCATAATTTTTTTCTTAAATTTTCAGAGTAAAATAACTTCGTTATTTTGGAGTTATTTGAAAAAAGGTAAAAAGAAAATATGTTTCTTTTATTGAGAACTAACTATACGCCAATACGCCCTGAAAATATTTGCACTTATTTAAGACTCACCCTGTATACTTACGTAGATATATCAACGTCATAAGATTATCATTAGAAAGGGCATTAAAAATATTAGCATCATCGCGACATGCCATTTTCATTCCTTCTTTATTGCAATTATAAAATGTTCAACAGATCTGTCCTTCCCGAGGACCTTATTTGGTGCATGCACATTAAAAATTAACGTATTTCCAATCAATCCAATCGCATCAATCGCAAATCGGTATAAATCTTTACAATTAATATTCAAATTCGGAGTGTGGACGATAGTTCATGGACAAAGATAGATCGAGTAGCAGTACCGCGCATGCAATAAAAAAATAAGATAATAGTCTATCCGTTGATATATTTCGGACAGTTTTTTTAGTTATTTACGTATCCACGTCAGTATATTACAATTATAAGTGATAACTAACCTAACCAATTAAATTTTTAGTTAGGCAATCGAGGGCGCGATTTTTAAATTCATTGTTGCCAACCATTGACACAATCGGCTAACTGGAATTTAAATTTCCCGCTGGGGATTCAGGTGGTAATTCTACTGTAAAAAATGTCAAGTTGCCATATTAATTTATTTATTTC